AGTCAACCTCGTTCTCAGGGCTCTCTCCTACAAGCAGAGAGAACTTGGGAACGAAGTTGGGGAGGAGTTTCGGCCGCTTCGTTCTAAGCGCATCGTCGGAGACCCACGGGCAGCTACAATCCTCGTCCCAAATCATGAAACACTTCCCCAATGTTTATTAGGGTATTAAAGTGGTCTCAGTTCCTCAAAATACGCGTGGTTTAACATTGGGGAGGGAGAGGGCACATTACAGTGCGTGAGAACAAAAGTGTGAGGAGTAAAAATCTTAAGAATTTGCCAGAAAATTCGAGAGAAACGGTGTCTGTTTCAACGATTTGTGACGGATATTGTAGTCGGGACGATTCTATCGTCCCGACTAGCTGCCCCTGGGTCTCCAAAGATGTTCTAATCATTATGAACTTATCCGATAACAGTTGTGATTTGTGTTAACCCTTTTAACCACAAGACTGACCAATATTAATTTTCTCCTAACAATTTCAACAAATTTTTAAGAGAAAAGGTTCAGAGAATTTATAAAATGATCAAGAAAAAGGAAATGCTTTTATCCTTCATCATATTCTTGTCTCCAAACGGGAGTCCAAAGGATGATATGGCGACTATTATTGTTGTTGTTTTCCCGCTTTGGCCAATTTTTTGTCTCGTTATTATTTCTAAATCTACCTATTATTATTTCATTATTAACACAACTGCATGTAAAACTTGCTTTGCAGATGTAAAAGAATGGGCACCATGAACTTTTGAATGAGGTGGAAGAAACTGCGAGCGTGGTTTACAAGGACATTCTAGACTGGATTCAGCAAAAGCTACCTTAAACTGTTTTAGGCCACAAGCACACGAATCCAGACTAATTTTTAAAACTACATATTTTTTTACCTGGATTCGTATAGAGGGGGCCTTAAACCACTCCGGAGAGCGGTTTCAAAAAGATAGTAGGCTGATTTAGCAATAGAATGGGAACGTCAGTTGACGACGACGCGCGCAAATCAAACAACTGGCTTGACCAATGGGAGAGCAGCAAATTGAGCACCGGAAGTCGCGTTCAGTCCTTTCCGCGCGCTTTCCCGTCGTCAACTGATGTTTCCGTTCTGTTGCTAAATCAGCCTAACGTTTCGGTGAGATGATTTACTGAGGATTCACTGGTTTCGCGCGTGGACGGAATACCGGACGGAAGGCCTTTTTATGTGAAAAATGTATCTAAATGCGCTTTTAAAAATATCCGGATTTGTATGGACAGGGCTTTTCACGATAGTGTCAATCTAAAAATACGACAAGAATCATTTCGTTTTTTTCAATTCATTTATGTTTAATTCGGTAAATTCAGAAGAGAAAGCCAAATTCTGAAGGATTCTAAAAAGGGCCGTTTGCACGATGACGTCATTTTACTATACCAGATTCCTTCAGGGTTTTGCTTTCTTGTGCAAGTTAGGGCTTTTGTTTTTTAAACCTCAGTGGGATTACCAGACTTAAATATGAAAGAAAAAATAAAATGAATTCTTTTAGTAGTAAAAACAAGTCATCGCGTAAATAGCCAATTAGGCCCCGTGGCGCCAATCTACTCTGAACTACCGCATTTTTCGAACTGGGAGGGTAACCCTTGATATAGGTTCAATAAACAAAACAGTAACTCTGCACGTGCATCGCACGTTTTCGCAAATTTTTATTCGCCATCACTAGGTTATGTGGAGGACATAAGCACCCAAAGACAAATTTATTTTTCTCTATTTACTCTTTGATGTCAGTGCTCCTTAAAAATTCATTTCCACGGAAAAATCACCTACATTTGACCAACTTAGCTAGTTAAGATAACCTCCCACAAATTTTAAAAGTACGCCAAATAGCTTTATAAATGACGTTTCGCTACCGTCGCCTCCCTATGTCGGGTGTATTAAATCTCGAGCAACTGACGTTCAGTCAAATTCAATCTCAGTATTTTAACGCCATACGTTAGTAGGTATGTCTCACTTTAGGTTGTCTGCTTTGGACTAGCAAAGGCAGTACCAGGACGATCAAGACACATACCCCACGTGGTCTCGCGTGAACAACCCGGCGGGCTAAAATTGACCGGAAACCTTAGGCTCCATTTCCGCCGTCTCCCGGATCCGGTCTTTGATCCTCCGCGGGGTCATTTTCCCAAACAGCGGCTGGTAATCGAGCCTACGGAAACCTTAGAGATGAAAATACCAGTTATCTGGAGCGAGAGGCGACAAAGAGAAGAGATAGCCTGGGAACGAGATTGATTTACAGTTTCATGTTCCTAGATAATAATAAGCTGCGATCATGTTCTCCCTAAAAAAAAAAC